TGGGGGGGGGGGGGTAGTGGGTGGGACGCAATATATGAAGACGCACATGCATATCCCTTCGCTCTGCTATGCATACTTCTGGTGACCTCTTCGTTTCGCATCAGTGGCGCGGCATGGGGGGACTCGCTGCAACCGCCTGTTCTCAGTTGTTGTTGTTGTCTTGACATCGAAAGAAAAAAACTTTCCGATGTCTGACACGCCGTATTTCTCAGGAGTTTACTCGGTAATCTCGGATTTGAGACGAATCCGGATTTCGGAACGAAATCGGGAAGAGTCAGATATCCCATGAAGCATGTTGGAAAATGACTCTACCTTGTTCAGTCCCCTTTCTCTCTCCCGAAATACGCCGAAGCTATCGAGGAGACAGGAGATACTTGAGAGAGTAACAGGCCGCCTCGCAACACCCGGCGTTCCGCCGCGGCGGCTTCGGCGACTGCTTGGCGGTGGCTCTCTCGGCCCCACAGCGACTGCGAGCTCACCGGTAGGCCCGCTTTTACCTCCACTCCTCAACCTGACCGCTAGACGGCCACGTTCGTGGACGCGACCATCGCGGCCTATGCTTCGCCGTGCTACACCGCGCTGGTGCCGGGCACGGGGGGGGCTACGTTGGACCTCGGGGGGGTCTTCGACCGCAACCGCATGAGTTGAGCGATCAGGGCTCGTTGCTGGAGGACGTGCTTTTGCGTTTGGGGGGAGTGCCCACATCTGAGTGCCGCTTCTTCCCACAGCGCTGCACACTGGGCAGACGACAAACCAGAGGTGCGATGCCCGCTTCGTGCCAATGGAATGAAAAAAAAAAAAAAAACACACACACACATGTACAAGTTGTGTGCCAATCTTTGTGGTGCGAGTTTTCCTCCTCCACGCCCTTCGAAATATATAGACTACGCTGGTAGGTCTCGCCACACTATAGTCTAACCGTCTTGTCTGCACCGCCATATCGGTGACTGTCCGTGTGCCGCGTGCAGGATGGTGTTTGGCGGTATTCTTGACGCGGACACTGCAACCATGGTGGTCTTATGTGCGGACATGCATCATTGATTTCTGCGGAACATACTACACGTTATGGCTTGCTAGTTCTCGAATAAAGAAAAAAAAAAATGCACACACACGAATGTTTCTTGCTGACACCTGCACCCGCTGGTTCGCGTGCGAGTTTTCTTCGGGGTATGACGTCGACTCCAAGTTAACGTGTCATGCCCGTGCTAGGCTGTCTGTCCGCGCGGAGACATGCGCGCGCGTCGTGTGTCGGATGGCACTGCTGTATGGTTCCGTTGCGAACGATGCGGCACTGTTGACACACGCACGAATGTTGCCCGTGGAACACCTGCTCGGTGTTCGGTTTGTCCACAACTCTGGGGCGCACATGGCTGCTTGGTCTCACACATGTATGTCTGCCATACACACTGATGAGGCGGCTTGGGGTCGCACCACGAAGGAGTGCCTCCTTCTTGTTTTGTGGTTATTGCTTCAGCTACACTCTCGTTTTATACAATTCGGTGCGCGCACGGTTCGTTGTGTTGACGTTCTCCCATGAAGGTCGCGCAATCAACACAATTAATTCGTTTGACTGCGGGTCGCCGGGCACCTATGGAAGATGACAAAATATAGCGAAGCTTGGACTGAAACTCTTTTTTTTTCGAGGTAAATTTGAGGTTCCGCCGTACGCGAGCTGGGAGCCGGGAGTACCATAATATGAAGGCTTGTGCGTCAAAAGGGGACGTTTTGCGTCAGCAAGGCGGACACGTTATCACACTCTCTTCGACACACGATACCTCGCTGCACCTGCCTCGTGGAGGCGTGGAACTGCCTTGGGAGTCTCGGGACCATCACAGGCAAGGGTGGAGGCCAAGGTTTCATCCAAATTTGTCACCGGTGAGCCCATAACCCGATGTGCAACTACCTGTGGGAACCAGGGAAAGGCACCCACCATTCGACATACCCTCCGTGCCAGCAACTGATGCTCTCCACGTAGTTATGAATGCCCCATCTATTCTCCGGCTAGGCATATTTCGACCTCCTGATCTGTTTAGGCAACAATTCGTGTCTAAATCGGTCCAGTGTGTGTCGAGCAAAGTCAAAACTTCCAAACAGAAACGTCCACGATCGATCATGGTCTACGCTGTGCATACCAACAGCCCGAAAAAGCCTTGATAAAAAAGTTTGAAAATGTCTCTAATTTGTAATAATAATACGTACAGCAGTAGGTAGGTGCATGTCAGGCAGAGAGTACAGCTGTACCTTGTTGTACTCTATGCATAGGCATATGCACAGCATACCGTATACGTAGCGTGCGATGTCACTTCCCATACGACCTCGTCGCGCAACAGCCCGAAAAAGCCCTTTAAAAACGTTTATATGTCTTTAGACTAGAAGTTGTCAGACAATGCTACGACCACCCCACTTTTAACATGTACGACCTCATCCGCGCGCGCCCGTGGTACATAGTCACATCACAAGTCTTGTTGCTGTCGTCTTTCCCCTAGAGTAGGTAACTTTACATCATTGTAGGGGCAGTGCCCATTCGCGCCGAACACCAGCGCCATATATAAAAAACAAATGTGTGAAGTGGGACATGTCATCTGTTGTATGCCTAAACTCCGGCCGTGTTGTAGATACCTAGAGTTCTTTTGTACACTCTGCTGCCGCAAGGGACTCGTATCTGGTAGTTTTTGGGGAGACCCTTATACATGCGTTGTTGCAACTCGCTGTTTATCTTGATGTTGGCAGGAAGAATGTAACCAGGGAGCGCGGGCACGGGTGGGATACGGGATGCCAGAGATGTTGAATCAAGTGTAGGGGACCTCGGTTCGCCGTTGCGCGGCCGCCCACTTTTCGGGAGACAGGGGTCACCGGAAACTACCTTGGGGCTAGAGGAAAATTCTGCCGAGGAATATGGCGAGGACGACGACGACGTCGTACCAGATGAACTGTCGGCTACCTTTCTTGAAGGTAGGCTACAGCACATTGTACAGTCCATGCCATGGATACCTGGTGTGGACGATTACACCGAATTTAACCTGTTGTGCAGTTTATTACGGCGTTTGTCGATTGCTCTGTTGGGCTTGTCTTGGACGCTGAAGGTTGTCGTTATTTTAGGCGAACATAGGTCACACGTCTAATGTCGCATGAGGGTATGTGGAAGATGCCTCATGGATTCTCCCAGTTTCTATCGCCGACACGACCCTATAACTCCTTCGGGTACCCTTTACCCCCCCCCCCCCCCGGTGTTTGCCATCGGGGTTGGGTTTTCGTCGCTTGGCAACGACGTTGTAAAACAAGCCCCCCACTCGGTGTTCGCCATCGGGATTGGGTTTTCGTCGCTTGGCAACGACGTTGTAAAACAAGCCAATTCACTTCGTGAACTCGGCAACCAGGTTACCGTTTTTTTTTTTACCTCGGTTTTTTTTTTTTGGCGGTAACCATAATGGTGGTCGAGTAGATCATGTTGTGCGGGGTCGAGAAACCTCACTCCGCGCAACGGGGGATGATCGCACCACGTTGCGTTAAAATGGTCAAGCATCCTCGAGGCAGTTACACAGTGCTTACAACTGTCTCTGGAAGTGAAAGCACCAGAAAATAAATTAAGTCATACGTAGCTGTCATCCGTACGCAAGGAAGTAAGCACAAGATGCCGAACACCCTCAGCAGGATGCAGCTCACCCTTCATGCGACTCGCCAAATACCTCACGGCGCTTCGCGCTTGGTGATGTGAGAGCCTGGTCCGGTGAGAACCCGGCGTGCTCCGTCCCGGCTTTGTAGGGATGCGAGGTCAATGGTCAAACGACTACGGCATGCACGACTATGAGTACACCCCCCCCCCCCCCCCCCCCCCCCCC